TTATATAGTGTGTGTATGTGTGTATATATATATATATATATATAGTGTGTACATGCATGCATACATACACATATTTGTTATATATATATACACACACACACACACAACATATATCTTCATACACCAGTATGAATAAAGTTGAAAGAATCACTCAATACGCTTTTAGGAAAATTTCCAAAACGGCATGAGGGCTGATTCACACCAGCCAGTACAGTAAAACGGCCTCTTTTTAGGGCATAGGCTGGTGTCCACTGTGTGCCGGCAGTGCCTTGCATTGTTAGAATGCAACAATTGCATTGCAAAAATAGTTTTCCATGTGTTCTTGTGGTGACTGGCATTTAATCAGGTGCTGAAAAACCCCAGTCATTGCACATAGTGTGAATAAGCCCTCAGTGTTTGTGGGATCCAGAAGAATGAGAGACTGAGAACAAGAAAGCACATGTCTGTGGATTCCTTAGAAACCTGGAAGATCGATGTAAAGCACTGGGGTAGCTCCAGTTACTAGTGTTTTAAAGGATCTCTGTGGGCTGACCAGGAATAAAATACATACTGTATACTTACATTAGGTCAATTTTAGTATACATAATACTTTGTACTTGGAGTTCAGTTTTATGTTTTGAGGTCAAACCTCCTGTATCTGTGTTGCACGAAACAAATCTCTGAAGCAGACTTATGTGGCCTTTTTAAAGCTCACCATATACATTACAAGCTGACCATACAATCAAGATTAGATATACCAAACATCTCCAGTATGAGGACCTACCTAAACTATCCAGTCATGGTTGGTTGTATATAGAAAAGAGATTGTACAGTAGGAATCTAACATGTATGGAAGCTTTAATACCCCAGCGTAGGCAGAGCTGGGCACGTCAACCTCTGACAACGCGTAAATGTGTGCAATAGCATATATGATTTTTACTTGAAAGGATTTAGTAAATGAGGTAAGATGAAACTCTGCTGTGTGTAAAGGTACTTTCATGGTTTAAAAAGAAGTCTTTGTAGGCAATCCAAATATATTCTATAGGCTAAGTACACATTTCAAAGCTGAATATTGTAGCTATACAGAGAGACATCCAACCCTTCTTGATCCTACAAACACCTTGTGTATAACTTGGCCAACAGGTGAATGTGGTCCACTCATGGAAAGCCACTTCATTCATATTTTTATATAAGAAAGGAATCTATTGATGGCCATCGCTCAGAAATGTCCCATCCAGTAGGAAAAGTCTTTTTGTGCAATAACATGTTATTACTGCCCATGGAGACCCAGTCCTGTTGTCACAGGGTATGCTCACAATGGGCTGTGCTTGGACCATGTACGGTCATTCGAAGTACCCTTCAGGATGCTGCATCACCATTCTAGAATATTTTTCTCATGATCACTGTTAACACATACACTACTAGAAGTAATTGTCAGGGATTAATAAGCTGTAATGCAAAGTGATATAGTCTGCTGCATTTATGTTTTAGTAAAAGGACAAGTGTACTAAAGAGAAATATGTAGGCTACCTTTGCCAATCTCTCCTTCTAAAATGCTGTTTCCCTGGCTACCATGCTGATTCAGTACAAATTGCTTTACTTTCACGCCAATCATTCCTGAGTCACTGATCCTGAACAATCATGCAGATCAGGAGTTTTTACTTCAGTTGCGGCATGCTTGTTCTATGGCAGTGACTAGGAATGTTGAAGCCAGGGGTCTTATAAAGGCAACCTACATATCTCTGCAAGTACAGGTTTCCTTATATAAACACAAACACATACTTGCACGTGCAAGTAAAATGTAAACAAAGGTAAATGTTCTTTGTATATTTGTATAAGAAATCTATTAAAGGTTACTGGAAAGATTAGTAAATTAATCTATAGTTTCACGTTTTGCTGTTTAGAGCAGAGATCGCAAGCAGAATGTTATTTTTCGTGATGAAATTTTTTTTTATAGTACTTAGGAAGATATTTATCTGATAACGTAAAGCTACTGACCTAAAGGTTCTGATATTTTTAGGAAGAAATGTATTTGGAATGGGGGTTAAATACAAATCTTACTTTAAGCAGATTGCAAAGCTTTGTTTATCTGTAGTTCAAGTTTCTAGCTAAAGTCCTCTTTCTCCATTGTGCCTTCTTTCCTGCTCTCTGCTACACTGATCTGTTGTCTCTGTGATCACTAGATGTGTTTAGAGTTGTGGTCAATGTTTATTCGGTTATTAGTAACACAAATACATGGGAGGTATTTGAAAGATTGACTAGAATGCATGCACCAGGCAACTTCTCTCTCCAACAAATTGCCACTGGTGCTCCTTCACCTTTGTCTTACTCTGCCATGCCGGGCCAAGAGAAGACTCAATAAAGCCGAGGAGTACATGGCTTAGTGTTAGTAATAAAGTAGTGTGTTCAGGTGATTCACAATCTGGTTAGTGGCATGCTGTGTTTGATATAAAACAATGCTTTCCTGTCACAATGTGTTTGTAATGGTTTATATAGTGCCAATATGTTTCATTACATGGCATCTGAGCACTGTGACAGCTTAGAGTGACTAGCAACATCTTCTCCTCTATTAGGATGTCTGTGAATGTTCTCATTTATCCAGGTCTTGAGCTAGTAGTAGTCGGTCACATTCAACTAGACGTGTTCTGTCATGTTGAAGACCTTTTGTAGATTATCCAAGTATCTTCATCCATTCTGATGGGTGTCCTGAAGATACCCCAGCATGAAAGATGACATCTACGTCAGACTGCGACAACCATCCCTAAATAGACGTAGGGGCCTTCCACACCATACGTCACTCACGTATTATGCTTTTTTTATCATTTCTTCGCCAGGAGATTAAATACAATTCACACCTTCAGTCATGTAACTAGAACAATCAACACATGTCCTAGACCTGAATACACCACAGAATTGGATTAGGAAATTAGAACAGGGCGATTCCACAAACTTTCACACCTCCCCTCATGTATGTGTCCTTTATTCAGGTCATGATATAGCTAGTAGTAGTTAGCCACATTCAACCAGACTTGTTGGATGTTTCAAAGCTTATCCAATTCACTTCTTCAGTTAAGTGTCAGAAAACATACCCCAACATTTATATCCACCCGGGTAACACAGACACCTTAATCCAATTACCTCATGGAATATGTAGCTGTTGACTGTCCAAGAACAGGATGGGAGGTGGGAAGTTGAGGAAACCCCTCCTCTTCTGGTCACATAATCCCATCCTTGGCATCAGGAAACCTGCATAGTTCTATGAGGATATTGATATTGAATCTGAGATTTACATAGAAAAA